TGTATCGAACAATTGGTAGTAATAACATTAACGGTACCAATTTGATTGCACCAAAGGCTATACAAACATTATTTGTATGCTAATGTCTCATGAACAATATCTGTATGCTCGTGTCTCATGAACAATATCTGTATGTTCATATTTCATGAACAATTCCCCTATACACGTGTCTCACGAACAATATCCGAATGCTGATGCCTAACGAACAATATCCGTCTGCTCGTGTCTCATTAACAATATATATATGCTCTTGTCTCACGAACAATATCGGTATGCTCGTGTTTCATGAACAATATCCGTCTGACCGTGTCTCATGATGAATATTCGTTTATTCGTGTCTCATGAACAATATCCGTATGCTCGTGTCTCATGAACAATATTCGTTTGCTCAGTTCTCATTAACAATATTCGTCTGCTCGTGTCTCGCGAACAATATCTGTTGGCTCGTGTCTCATGGACAATATCAGTATGCTCGTTTCTCACGAACAATATCCGTTTGCTCATTTCTCATGAACAATATTTGTCTGCTCGTGTCTTATGGAGAATATCCGTATGCTCATTTCTCATGAACAATATCCGTCTTCACGTGTCACACGAACAATATCTTTTAGCTCATGTCTCATGAACAGTATCCGTATGCTCGTGTCTCATGGACAATATCAGTATGCTCGTGTCTCACGAACAATATGCGTTTGCTCATTTCTCATAAACAATATGTGTCTGCTCGTGTCTCATGAAGAATGCTCATGTTTCATGAACAATATCCGTATGCTTGTGCCTCATGAACAATATCTGTTTTCTAAATAAAAAAATATCTGGAATCTTATTTCTAACTCACAATGAACTAATTGAATATTTCGAAAACATGATAATATTTATGCTTTACAAAGTCATATGTTACAACAAGGATTGCATTACAAATAGATTGTACAAATTTGATTAATGAAAAAGAGCCACAAGGAAAAAAAAGGCTAAACAAAATTAAAAAATTAAAAAATTACATATTCACAAGACGGCATTTCACCCTATTTCGGCAAATTACTCTTCTCTACCACAACGTGAATTTGTTCTTACTTTTTAATTCCCGCGTTCTTAGTAAAAGCGAAATAATTCATCAGTAAGACAATACAGTTAAATGCATATTACCTACCTATTCCATTGTAATAAAATATGCTCCGTCTTATTTTAAATCCATGGTATCTGTTGTAGTATTCTAGTCCGTAGTGTCCACCTCTGTAAATGGCAGGGCCTATTCGTAAAAGTTTAATACAATGTCAGTACATTATGCATTTGTCACAGATAAATACCCATGTTTCAAGTTGTTCTAATGAGGTAATGAAATAATATCTTGATATATAAGTGGACTAAATATCTGGGAAACAAAGTGATGCACTATACATTTTCTTTATTTTTAAATAGGTATACAATCTTAAACATTATAGCCTTTTAAAAAAAGTATAGGTAGTTTTCTCCTTTGAATTGTTTTACATTTGTCATCTCGGGGCCTTTTATAGCTTTATAGGTTTTGCTCATTGTAACAGGTCGTATGGTTACCCTTAGTTGCTAACTTCTACGGCAGTTGGTCTCTGGTGGAGAGTTGTGTTATTGGCAATCATACAGCATCTTCTTATTTTTATATTTGAAATAAATATGTATTTGTGAATACTCACGAGGGCCCTTCTTAGGATAATTTTCATAGGTGTTATACCCGTATGAAGCAACTGTAAAAAAACATATGTTACTCATTACAATGATTTTCTGCTGGATTTGTCGTCTGTATTATATCTGTTTCTATTTTAATGTTTATAGGTAAATTTAAATCTAATCATGGTAAACTTTGTTTAATTCATTTTATTTCATGTATATATTATGTTTTAAAATTAATACTGTTCATTCAAAACGGCGGGATTAAAAAAATAAAATATGTGTTCAAGTTTATTCGTTTAAAAAACTGATAATAATGTCACGTGCATTTTTTTGTTGTAAATAATTGAAAAAAGTGGAAGTTGAAAAACCCCGACAAATAGAAAAATATTTTAAAAAACAACAGCAGTAAGGCACACGTCAATGAGAAAATAGCATGGTTTAACAAGTATCAATACATAAATTTCAACTTTCAGACTTCAACGTTAAAGCAATTAGTCTTTGGATATAAGATTTTTGACAAAAATTATTTTGGTCTGAATTATTTCCTAACAGTTTTAGGTTTTTCAATATACGAATCATATTATGTATCTAATCAGAAATTGATAAATGTAAATGTTTATCAAGTTTTTGTTCAAGAATACACAGAAAAATATAACAAAAACAGAACAATAAAATTAAATCTAGTTTTAGCATACAGTTGCCTTTTTGTCATTTGTTTTGTTTTTTTTCTTTTGTAAAAATCATCGCTTTCATAGATTCAGTTCCACGAAAATGCACGGTAATATTGTTGTTCATATCTCATTGCACAGAGATGAAATGCCAGGATACTAAAAGTTGAGATGCATTATATTACACCAGTACGCACTTGGACCCACATTTTAGCATTTCCTCGTCTTATACCAAAAAAGAGGAACTACTTCGAAAAGAACGCATACATGAAGATACGAGGCTTAACATTTTGTAAACCAGACGTACGTTTTGTTTAAAATAGTTTCATCAGTGACACTCAATTCAAAAGTTAAAAAGGCCAAATACAGTACAAAGTTGAAGACAATGAGGGCCCAAAATGCTGAAATGTTTTGCCAAATAGGAGAATGGTTATCTATTCCTGGGGTAAAAAGAACCCATAATTGTTTAGATTGTATATGTTCATCATTATCCACTTGAAAATATGAGCAATAAAGAAGTGGCTTTTGAAAAATCGTAAGAATAAAAAGTTATTACCTTCATTTATCTTCATCTTTTCAAAAATAAAAACTTTCACTATTTTTTTAATTTGAATAAAACATTCCTGTCGGAGGCTTTATCTTCTTATTTGCCATGTTAACGTTTTAACGGGTCTATATTAGCCATTGCGAGATCGATTACAACGATTCATTAGAAATGAAATTAATAGAAAAAAGCTACAAAAAATTAGCAACTAACCAAAGGTCAACTATACTTGGGGAAGTTTCTAAAATGACCTGTAAATTATCAACGGAGTATTAAAAAAAAAGTATTTTATTAATCATCTCAGTACTGAAGCGCTGACTCCTGAACTGATCCCTGAAATATTCATTACAAAAATGCTTGTTTTTTGTAAGTACCATATATTTAAAAATATTTCATTTCAATCCTTGTGTTGTCAATGTTATAATATGGCATACCAGTTATTCGGTACTGGCCTTAAATAATATTGCTACAAGTTGGTAAATAAACTGTTTTCTGTCAAGTGAACCTTTTTTCTTTTGGTCCGTATTAATATATAGCGTTTTAAATACTTCGTTAATTTATAATTTGTTTTGCCCTGATATTGATCAATTGTTTTTTTTTCTTACAACGCTACATATATGTTTTAACTTTCAAAATAGAGTTGTATCATATTCTCACAATGGATTGTTAATTTTTGTAGCTGATTCTATTAATTGTATTTTTAATGGATCGTTATAAACGATCTCATAAAAGCTAAAATAGACATGTTAAACATGGTAAATGATAAAGCGAAAAGCCTCGGACAGACATGTCTGGTCTTATAAAAAAATTGTAAATTTTATTTTTTAAAAAGACGAACATAAAGGAATAATATAACTTTTTCTGTTTACGAATTTTCATATTGCATTTCTCTATTGCTTATATTTTCAAATGAAAGAAAATGTACACGTATACAATCTTAAACAGTTGTAGGTTCTTTCTACCCCATAAATATACTACCTTAGCTGTATTTGGCAAAATCTTTTGGAATATTGGGTTCTCACTGCTCTTTATTTAACCTTTTTCAATTTTTAGTTTCGAGCGTCACTGATAAGACTTTTGATGATGAAACGCACACGTCTTTTGTACAAGTATTTTGGCCTAGTATCTTTGAGTGTATTTCTTAGTAGTTCCTCTTTACAGGTATCAGACGAGGAAAAGTTCCGAGTAATAAAAATTAGGGTCCACGAGCGTACTAGTGTGATCTGATGCATGTCTTCTTCCAGTCTCCTGGTATTTCGACTCTATGCCTCGGTACTTGCATGAGAATTCGGATATTGTTATATTAAAATTTGCTGTAACAAAATTTAGAAAACTGTTTTGCGTTAATGAATATATCTCCCTTATGTTCCTTGTCCGACTTGTGCTATACGTTTTGTCTTTTTTTATTATCTATAAGCTCATCATTTTTTTAATAAGTTTTGGATTTTGAAATATTTCGACCATATGATGAGGCATGTATTGCCGAAATGCGCATTTAATGCAGTAAAATTGGTACCATTAATAATAATACTACTACTGGGTCAATACCTCTGCTGGTGAACTGTAAGTTCCCGCGGGTTTCACCAGCCCATTAGTAAGTACTTCGGAACTGGCATGAAAATACGGATATTGTGTTATTAAAATTTACATGTCACAAAATATTGAATTTTGTTTTGAATTTAGGAATATATCTCTCTAATGCAAAGCTTTGATTCCTTGCCCGGCTTTGCTTATATTTTTTTCTGTTTTTTTTATTTATAAGCCCTCCAATTTTTTAATAAGTAAGGATTTTCAAATATTTGGGCCTCGAGCATCACCGAAGACATTTATTGCCAAAGCTTTGGCATATATATGATGCTACGGGAAAATGTCAAGCATGGTCTTCCGTGTACTAGATTAAGGTAAACCAACGTAAAAACTTTCCACTTAGAAATCAAATGATCTGTGTATTTTGAATAGTCGATGAAGTGGAAGAAAAAAATGTCACAGCGATAAACGATATTCTATTAACCACATGTAATGCATTGTTCACAGGAAGATTGAAACTTGCACAAAAGTTATTTACATGCACTTCATGGTGTTTATGGTAACACATGGATCTGAACATACACTATATAAATAAACTGTAAATAAAAATCCCACATATCATTCAATATGGCTCAAGGAATATATGTTCTGCTCCTAGTGGTCATCGCTACAGGTAATTTTTCGTTATTTTTCCCTCACATTTGGTTACATATTATTCAGCATGGTTCGTGGAATATATTTTTGGTCCAAGATGTAATTGATTTGATGCATGCCATATTTTTCGTTTATCTATCACAACTTCATACGTAAAAGTCTTTTAAATTATACGTTTCGTATCCTTCAGATATTAAATTAATGTGCACACTGACTTAAATGTTCTTAAGTATGTAAGAATTACTTAATACTTTTTTTGATTAAAAAATTTCACACACAGCAGAACATTTTTTTCGATTTAGGAGGGGTTTTTGTGTTATGGTTATTTTACCGATTTGGGTATATTTTTGGCTACCGATATATACATTTAACAGGAATAATCCTCCTGTATTGTCTGATATTTCACACTTCCTTATTTGTCAAACAATAGATAGTAGTTATTTCAAACTTATTGAAATGCATATTCCTGAACCAATTTGTTTCAATATGCAAATATACCTTACACTGTTCATGGAAATTACATGTGGTTGGCTTTTGTTATAACAAATGTGGTTTCTTATTTTGAGAATTTTGGGTTTATGCATATCCTTGATAGTCACTTTTGAAATCGTTATCAGGTTTTTCCCGTCCCAGAGGGATAGAGAGTTGACACGTGTCGTTGAAGTCTTTTTAAGTTGAAATAATTGTCTGTTGATAATCGATATACTAGGCTATTGTCTCATTGACGTGTGCCTCATTTTTTGAGAAAAAAAACTTTTTACGATTTATTGGGGTTCTTCAACTTCAACTTATTTATCAATTTCAACTATAAATGCAAGGACACTCTTCTCGGTTTTTAAAACAACAAAAAATCAAAAATATACAATCAAACAAACATATATTTTATTTGACAATCACGTCGGTAAAAATGAGCAGAATAATTTCATACATAATACAAAACATGAAATAGAAATAAGTTAAACAAAGTACAACATGATGAGATTTGATTTTATTAACATTTAATACTGAAATATAGATGTCAGATATATGCATTTGTCTACGATTACAATACATATTTTCAACAGAAAAAAATATAATACAAACACGGACGGGAATTCCGGCAGAAAATCATTGTAATGAATAATTAATGTTTTTTTACAGTTGCTACATACGGGTATGACAGTTATCCTAAGAAGGTTCCTAGTGAGTAAAACATATCAATATTTTTTAAAGGCTTGTTAACGTCTTCGTCATTTGCTTTCTTGTGAAAAGTTGTCTCATTAGCAATCATACCGCATCTTATTTTTATATCATAATGATTAAGATTGCATACATATTCAAAGATAAAGAAAATGTATATTGAATCACATTATTTCCTGGATACTGAGTCTACTCATATATATCAATATATTATTTCATGACAGCATTTGAACCAATTGAAACATCGGTATATATGACAAATGTATAATGCAATAAAATCGTATTAAACTTTTACGAATAGGCCCTGCCATTTACAGAGGTGGGAACTACGGACTAGCATACTACAACAGATACAATGGATTTAAAATAAGACGGAGCATATTTTATTACAATGGAATAGGTAGGTCATATGAATATAACTGTATTATCTAACTATTGAATTATTTTTGCTTGAGTTATGAACGCTGGAATCAAAGAGTAAAAATAAATTCACATTGTAGTAGAGTAGAGTAATTTACCAGGTTAGGTGAAGTGTCTTCTTGTAAATAGTTAATTTTATGGGTTTTTTTTTCTCTTTTAAGCCAAAGTAATGTATGTTTGTAATTTTTTTGTTTGTGTTTCTTTGTATCTCTTTTTTATAACTCAAATTCGTAACAATTTATTTATGATAATCAAATGCTTGATGTAACATATACAATTGTGAAACATATATAGTATTATGTTTTCGAACTCTTCGATTAGTTTATTGTGAGTTTTAAATAAGACTGCAGGTATTGGTCTATTGAGAATACGGATATTGTTCACGAAACCCGAGCATACGGAAATTATTTATGAGGCACGAACAGACAGATATTATTCTTGAGACCCAAGCATACAGACATTGTTAATAAGGCATGAGCATACGGATGAGAGGCCTGAGGGGTTATTTTCGTTCTTCGTGATCGGCGCATTTTCGCTATCGTGATCCGTTTTTCTACAGATTTAATTTTTTTTATATTTTCGTGATCCGTGATCATGGAAATTTATTTTCTGTGAATCGTGATTGACAAAAAAATCAACTCGTGAATCGTGATGAGACCCCCCCCCCCCCCCCCATCAGGCCCCTCACGGATGTTGTTCATGAGACGAGAGCATACGGAAACTGTTAATGAGGCACGAAGAGACGGATATTGTTCGTGAGGCACGAGCATACCGATGTTGTTCATGAGGCACGAGCATAAGAATGTTGTTCATGAGGCACGAACAGACGGATATTCTTGATGAGATACGAATATACTGATATTGTTTGAGTTTGAATGTCGCTTTGGTATCCTTCGCCTCTCGTGTATAACTTTGCTTACTTGTCCGGGTTTATTTTCGGCCCTTATCTTCAACATTTTCAAAAGATGTATTATTTTCGACACTTTTTGCATAACTGTACAAACATAAATTGTCGAAATGCATATCTGGTGCAATTAATTTGGTATCATTAATGTTATTTAAGCACTTCCATTGATGTTTTTGTCTTTTTCGACTATCAGCCATAAATAAACTAACCATAAACTTTATAAAGTTCTGATTAAAGAAAGGTAAATTATATCCATCATAATGAGCCGTTAAAAGAAAAAGTTTACTGTAAACTCTGAAATTAACATTTTCCAGGTGAAATGCATGTTTTAAACAAGGATATGTTTTTTCCACTCTATGTCACTTAAATTTACAACGTTGTTTTGGCATTGTAAAATTTCTAGTTCAAATTTATCAACCTTCAATTGACAAACATGAAATTATTGTTGACCAGTTCAAAGTTATATGATAACTAGGAATATTTGATATAAAGTAACTTGAATGTTATTTGTCGTCCACTATCATTTCTTGAATAGTGATTTTATTGTTATTCACGATACTTTGTTTTAACATTTCATTTTAAGAGCACAATATATTTAACGTTAACCGTAATGAGACATTGGATGCACTAATTGTTTTCGTATTGGTTGCACATAAATCACAGGCACAGGTTATGTTTTTAATCATTTTGCTCAGATGTGTACAATAAATACCCCTTCACAATGGAATAAAAAATAATATCCCTATCCCCTAATTTTTTTTTATTATATTCATTTTATAGTCTTGTTATTTCATGGTACTTATTATATATTTTAGGATATAAATTAACCTGTAATAAGACACGTTTCTATCGACTTTGGGGCAGTTGTTATAGTAAAAACCACAGCAGAAGTAGATGTTTTAGACGATTCCTAAAGCAACGTCTTTTTGCAATATACAAAGGTAAATACTACAATAAGAGGAATATGGTAAACATCAATTCCATGCTATTTTTGTAGTAATCGAGGTATTATATGTGGCTAAACATATGTTCAAGACCATAACAATTCTCATAACCACGCCTGCTTCGATATTTTCTTACATATTATTACTTTTTGCTCTTCTTTATGGAGAAAAATGAATAAGATGAGGTATTTCGTTTGTTTTGTGACTCTCACTCAATCCTTTTCAGTTGAAATTTGAATTAACGGTGTATCAATTAATTTTGCCTCTTTCAAATGATAATGTTCTCTACAAATTATGTGAAAATTGAGATAGGTGCTTGTTTGGAAAAAATATTAAACGGAAAATACATGTTTCTAGATTTTTCTTCAAAAACGCGTGGAAAGAATTGTATGTTAATGTATAAATAATTGAGATATGGAAATGGGGAATATGTCAAAGAGACAACAACCTGACCAAAGAGCAGACAACAGCCGAAGGCCACCAATGGGTCTTCATCGCAGCGAGAAAATCCCGCAAAATGTTTTGTGAGATCTTCCCCTCCCCCTATACCTCTAGCCAATGTAGAATAAAGAAACACATAACAATACGCACAGTAAAACTCAGTTCAAAAGAAGTCCGAGTCCGATGTCAGAAAAGGATACAAAAGAAACTAAGCAAAATGACAATGATACATAAATTAACAAAGGACTACTAGCAGTTACTGACATGCCAGCTTCAGACCTCAATTGATTGAAAGATTATGTCTTCATCATATGAAAATCAAGTACAATCCCTCCCGTTAGGGGTTTAGTATCATACCATCATAAAATATATGAGAAGAACATAACCCGTATCATGCCAACAACTGGTTTTAGAATAAATGTGTATATGTTTGTTATAAAAATAATTTCGAATAAATAACTTGTACTATATTTAGAATTTATGAATTTGAAACGTTTGAGGAATATAATGGTTGTTTGGCGAAATATTTAATGCAAAGACCATACAAAATCATGACAAAGTAACATATTCTGTAACTTTTATTTTTTGATTCAGCTAACTCTTATCCATATAGACCGAAGAAGATTGTTCTCTACAAGAGAGCCAAAACATACTATAAAAGATAGAGATTCACTCACAAAAGGCAAGTTGTGATATTCATGAATAGTTCTGATAATTTCATTATGTTATACCTTTACTAAAATTCTGAAGACAAAAAAAATAACATTATTTCCTACAATGAAAATAGTACAGATTTGCAAAATAAATCATAGTCTATTATGTTTGAAATTTGTAAAAAACACATATTAGGTTGCAAAAGTATTTTTCTTAGTTGGTGTGTCTGAAGCGCATTTTTTAATAAATCTTCATCGGGAACGCTCTTAATCAAACATTTTAGAGCCGATGATGTACAAATACTTGAGAAGCTGTATTAACAAATTGGATCCATATAGCCAACCCTATTTTTGGTTCATTTTGCGTGAGAGATTTGGAATCTTAGTATCTGAGTTATTTCAAACATCAGCGTATAATTTGAGTTATCCATATTATAAATCATACACTCGGGGACTAGAAGACCATCAGCAACGGTATCAAGCCATTGCTGGAATATGGAAAGAACAATTCTTAAATTTTGTGCGTCTAAAACGTTTTGTTTTACTTTCATCTTTAACGCTCAAAACCTTTACCTCAAGGTGAAATTTTCTTGAGGAAGTTGGAACCTTGGTTTTTAATAATTTTTATCTTTTATTAATGTAAAATGAATGAAATGCACATTATAAATCATTTCAATGAAGAAGCACTGACCATACAGGTTGTTGATACACTCGGAGACTAAAAGTTCATAAGAAGTTTTATCCACCAAGTATTAGAAAAATTAAAGTAACTCTTCGTAAGCGTACATTTGTTGTGTCCGAAGCAATTTTCTGAAATAACCTTTATAAGAAACGCTTAAAACCCAAAATATGAAAGCCAAGGATGTAAAATGTTTGAGGAGCTTAATTTTTGTTTCTTTACAAGAGAACATAGAATTGCACTTACAATAGGAAATTCAGAAAAACAGATATCATTCTACATATGTCAGAAAAGTAGGGTAATATCTCACGGAATAGAGATTTAGGTTTAAAAAAGTTTATAAAAACAAATTTTTAAAATCAAGATCTATCATTGACATGAACTTCTAAATATTCATAACTTTTACAATTTATTAAAGTAAAAGTTCTTCTAAAATATAACGTTGCTAATCTTCATCCTTTTATTTTTAGGATAAACAGTATCCTGAGTGTATTATTTTTAAACGACGCTTTACATTGACCTCTTGTTTTTTTGCGATTGTAATGTTTAACCTCAATAAAACTACGTCTATATATATTAACTTTCTCTTATTCATTAATCCAATAAAAAATCAAAAACACATATACCTCTGCAAATGGAGGTTGTGAAGGGCAACCATTGCGAAAATCCAGTAAATACGAGGTATGCAAATTTATATTTTACGTATTTTCGATGGGAATGAATTTGCCTTATTTGACCGAAATTGGATTTCTAGCGTACACTCTCTCGACATTGACAAGAAGTTCCAGGAGCTGGTGTAGTTGAATTGTTGTTGTATTCTTCTATCTTCAATGATATCCGTTTCTGAATCTAAAATATGGACAAGCTTATCATATGTATTGCTTGATGACTATTTCTTTCGTTCATGACGAAGTCTTATATTAGTTTGTTTGCCATACATCTTGCTACATATATCGTATTAAGAATCGTTTTAAGTGAACATGCTTTTTCGAAACTTTTTTTTCTCTTTCTTGTGGTATATGCATTCTTGTAATTCCGGCATTGAAATGTGATTCAGGAAAATAAAGCTTGAAATACCACCTTACAGTGTATATGTACATCAAATGGCGTCATTTTGTTTAACCGTTTCTTTATCCAATCTCATACTGCAAACATCAATTGTACTAATCTGCTCAATTTAATCAGTTGCACAACATTCGCTACCAACGTCGTTGGACATTTTGATCCTACGTGTTTCTCTTTTCCGTTACATATTTTTCTAACGATTATTTCTGCAACAGGTCAAGTTCTTTATATCTTAAAACATATTTGCCTTTGAAGTATTTGCAACACAGAATGTCATTATCCAAGTTGAAAATATACCGTTTCTTGTATGACAAAACATAGCTTTACTTCCACAAGACAAATCTCCAAATAGAGCTTTGCATGAGCAGTACAACGGGTGCCACATATGGAGCAGAAACTAATTATCCTTCTGGAGCTCCTGAGATCACTCTTCCTTTAGTTTGGGGTCAGGTTGCTCAGTTTTGTTGTTTGTTTTTTCATCGGATTTCGTTTTTTGCAATTGCATTGTCAATTTGTTTTCTACTGATGAGTTTGAATATCCCTTTAGTGTTTTTCGTCTGTCTTATAGAAAATTTTGATAGCTTTATATCATTAATGAATTAAAATAGTGTCTAACTCTAGTTTTTACAATCTAATGAATTCGTCATCTGTAAACACAATGAGCACAATACTACATTCAATTGAGCATGCACACAAACATCTAATAAATTCTTACACGAGAGCAGGTAAACATTTGTTATTTGTTAAATCATAAATTAAACTAGAGTTGTGTTGTTCAGAAAAGAAAAAAAGCTGAAAAAGTAAAAACGGATTAAACCTGGGAGGAAGAATGCCAAAAGTTTTTTTTTCATATTGATGGATGGAAGTACAAAATTCTTTTTTTTTTCTTCTAAAAATTTCATAAAAATAAGACAATTTTCTTCATAACTCCTGTGATAACATCGTGAGGGCATAAGTGAATGTTAACATCATGTGTCTAGTCTTCTAATCTAGCAATCAAGTCTGTTCATATGTAATTGTATTATATACATCCAAAAATGAAATTACGAGCATCTTCATGATGAGTTCCCGAAACACTTGGTAGGGACACGGTACTATTTACTTTATATAAATCGTTATTCAGAAATAAAGCACCGCTTCGCATATGTGTGAAGATGATATTTAATTTTATAGGGTCAATAGACAAATATTTTGGCACTATTGTTTTAACCCACTGTCATTTTGTGCGTAGAAATTCTTCAGTTTAGATGGGGAATCCACAGAACAAAACAATTGTCCAATGAATAACATTCTCTGACCGTAGAAGGAAAACCATGATCTATCAGTTGGTGAAAGTAGACAAGAAGGGTCTATTATGTCATCTACATTTCGTACGAGATAAATTGGCGTGCTATATAAAATTAAGAAGATGTGGTATCATAGACAATTTCAAAAGGCCACCGTACGACCTTAAACATGCGTAAAACCCATACCGCATAGTAAGCTATAAAAGGCCTAGAAATAAAAAATGTAAAACAATTCAAAATAGAAACAAATATGATATACACCAACAAACGACAACCACTGCATTACAGGTTCCTAACTTGTTCACTTAGAAAAAATGAATTCCTGTAAATCTTCCGGTGCATCACAATATACAACAAAATATACCATAAGGCGGTATAATCAGAAATTGTAAATTTATTAGAGCAGAAAAGACAGAAAATAAGACTACAAGAATTATTCATAAATCATAATTACCAATTGACTTACACAGATAACTCTGAAAATAGAAAGTAACCCTGTTATTTTATACTGAAATGTAATTTGGGAAGAAGATAAATTTCTACAAAAAAAAAGCGACAACACTGGTAAGTAATATAGTAGTGCTTAGTCAAACACTTAGTAGTAGTATAACGTCTATGTTTGCTTTATACAAATCACGTTATGTATAAGTTCTGACATCCCTTTTAAGAAGCAAACTGGATTGATAAAACAGTAATAGTTACTCCGATAACCGATGATATTATCGTTACGTACCGATAAACCCCAGTTAAGAGTTATACTTTATGACGAACTATAAAAAATGTGTTATTCAAGGTGCAATGGACACCGTCATTCCTGTACGGGAAGATCTTTTTCTTTGTAAATACCAGTTGCTGGTCCATACGGAACGTATTTGAAGAAAAATTCCTACAGATCCTTCACAAAGAAAAAAGGGTACTAGATATCGATTATCGGTTAATTTTCGCGTGTGTCTTACCCTGAGATTTACCATTGCATAAATATTACATATACTGTTTATTAAAATGTATTAACAAAGGCAATTCAACGCAATTAATTAAACAGCAAAGATTTAAAACCGAAGGACCAAACCTCAAAAACTAACGCGGAAATGGAAATCGTAACCATATGTATTTAAAAAAAGTATTATTATTTGATAATTAATTTGATAATCGATTTAAAATATAGAATTTATAGACACAAACAATACCAGCTGGACTAGCTGCAACTCTTTCTGAAAGAAAATTACCTCAGATATTTTAATTATCGAAAGAAAAGGAGGGAATAGATTCCAAAATTGGACAAAAAACAAACATCAGTCGAATAAGAACAGTCACCAACATGGCCAAAATTTATATGATTAAAAGAAAAACAGCATTACAAACACAGAAAACAATACGGTGTTACTCATATCTAACTAAACTAGGTATGATCTTAGACACTCCGGTAGGGTAACAGTTCCTGCTCAGGGAAAAGAAGACGGGATTGTGGCGCACAAGGTTTAAAATTTCTGCTTTAAGGTGATTTGAGGTCACTTCTATAAATTGTATCATTTGCGTAGTAACATGTGCTAAAAAATGAATGTACGTTATTCAACTTCCTATTTGGATACCAACTAACATTGATAATGACTATTTTTTAAACTCTGACCACTTTATACAAATTAACTTGGTTACTCTTCATCTTCTAACACAAATATTGACCTCTGGTTACCCTTGGTCCTCTTACACAGATATAAACTAAGGTTACGTCTGTTATTTTATTTAGATGTTGGTTACACCTGGTCAACTTACACATATATTGGAATTGATTTCCCCTGTTCAACTCACTCAGATATTTACTTTAGTTACACCTGCTCACCTTACACAGATGTTGACTGTGGTCACCCCTGGTCATCTTATATAGATGTTTACTTCGTAACCCCTAATAATCTTACACATATATTAAATGTGGTTATCCCATGTCGAAGAACTAAATGGTAAATGCAAAACAGTTCATAAACAAAATTCCGCATAAAACACAAATATCGGTAAAACATTATAAAAGACTAAACACTCCAAACAAGGAGTCGGCTAACAATGTTTTTCATGTTGACTTATTTTTAGATCTTGTCTTGCTGTTTCATATTGACATTTAAAAGTTTCCTTCAATATACTAGTACATCATTCGATGGTTTCAGTTGACTTAAAACAGTAGATCTTGTTCTGTTGATGATTTAAGTTATCCACTATTTTTGTAACTGTTTATTTATAGCAGTTTCTGCATGAAAACACAAATACGGGTATAAATTATCATACAAGGGGAATTACTCATCTTAATAAGTCAATAGACGATTTTTCGCCATCTTGTCTTATCTTGGAACCTTGTCCGGTTGATTATTTCTACTTTCCAGCTTCTGTATATTTTCAATAGATTCTAACTAAGACACATATAAAGGTAGGAATCACCATTGAAGGGCAATAACTCGTAGAAGGAGTCAACTATCAATTTCGGCAAGTTGACTTATTAATAGATCTTGTCCGGGTGATCGTTTTTCTATTTGGAAGTTTCTTCTATCTACTAAGGTTTCGCAAAGAGGTTGTTAACATCGTCATTCAACGGCTATCACTTATAGGGAGTGGACTGACGACATCTGGCTGTTTTTGTAAAAAATATTTAAAATATGTCACTTTTGAATGACATTTAAGATAAAGACTTTAAACTATGTTATAATATATCGTATACATTGAAACTCAATAAAACTAACAATAAGGAACGTTGAAACAAACCATAAGCGGATAGTATAGCCAAGAATCCCACCCATTTCTATATGTATAAAAAAGAAGATGTGGTATGATTGCCAATGAGACAACTGTTCACAAGGGACTAGATGACACAGAAATTAACAAATATACGTCACTGTACGGCCTTCAACAATAAACAAAGCCCATTCCGCATAGCCAGCTTTAAAAGGCCCCGAAATGACAAATGTAAAACAATTAAAACGAGTAAACTAACGGCCTAATTTATGTACAAAATAATGAAAGGAAAACAAATATGTAACTCAGCCAATAAACGACAACCACTGAATAACAGGCTCATATCTTGGGACAGGCACATACAGAATGTGGCGGGGTTAAGCTAGTTAAATGGCGCCAAACCCTCCCCCTAACCTGGGACAGAGGTGAAACAACACAAAACAAGAACACACTCTACAAAACAATACATGAAAAACAAATATGATAAACAACAACCGATAATTACAGGCTCCTGACTTGGGACAGGCACATACAGAATGTGGCGTGGTTAAAGTAGTTTGAAGGCGCCTACCCTCACCCTAACCTGGGACAGAGGTGTAACAGTACAACATAAGAACAAACTATAGAAATCATTTGAGTAAACTATAGAAAACATTTCAGTAAACATAAAACATAAGCTCCCGTGAGCTATTCAAATTGACTAAATAACAATATACATACACACATACAATTTTACGGAAGCGAAATAGCGACACACATTTTTTTTTTATATTTCTTCCTATGTTTGCGTTTAACACAAACTTTTGAGGTATAACACAAACCGTTGTGTTCTAACGTAAACCTTTTCGAAATAACGCAAACCTTCGCGTTGAAACGCAAACCTTTGCGAAATAACTTTAACCTTTGCGAGATAACGCAAATGTTTGCAAAATAACGAAAAACTTTGCGTTATAACGCAAACCATTGCAATATAACGAAACCTTTGCGAAATAACGTTAAACCTTTGCGGGATAACGCAAATCTTTGCAAAATAACGAAAAACTTTAGTTGCTAACTTCTACGTCATTTGATATATTGTGGAAAGTGGTCCCATTGGCAGTCATACCATTTTTTTTTATATTTAAAGCAACATGAGTGTATTACGGTCTTATGTCTCCGAGAAGTCTGTATTTTTTGTACTGATTTATAAATCAACTACACAGTGACATACTGTGGATTCATTTATTGTCATGGGTACCCATTCAATTCAAAGTTTTATTTACAGTCGATATTCAGTAAACAAAAAACATAAGCTCCCGTGAGCTATTCAAATCGACTAAATAATAAAATACATAAACACATACACAAGTCATGAAAACAACACAATTGTTGAAACATATACATGAAATGCATGGTATGTTGATAAAAATGTCAAATAAATTTAAAAGCACAACTTAAGTCATATTTTTGAAAACATGTATGCAGAATAAAATAGATTTTAAAATATAGAATACGTTAGAACATTGAGATAAAAACAACAGAAAGCTATACGAATCAAACAAACATTCAAACAAAAATAAATAATAAAAAGCAAGGATACCAATTTTCGTGAATTGAGGAAACTTTCGTGGACATTTGATTTCGTTTTTTGGTGAAAGTCTGCATATAAACCTACAATGTATAGACAATTTGTACTTCCTTGAACATATATATTTGTTGTTTACCTGTACCCTCGTAATTCAGGAAAATTGGTATTCTAAAAATAAAAATGAATCCACAGTACTTGAGACTTAAACGACTTGTTTATCCGAAGTCTGTATGCACATTATTGGTTAAAAGACAAGTTATGAACGTTACACACGAAGTACGTATAAGTAGTAGTGACATTCCAGATGATGATAGAAAAATAACAGGTTCTTGTAGAAATGATAATTTTAAATGCAAATATTTTTTACCCAAAACTATCATTATGACCAATTTTCAAAATGGTTAAGTAAAACGCTAACCCATTTTATGAATCGTGGCATTCCAAATTGCGATGTGACCATCTTCTTCTAAACAAGTATCACTTATTTCAAGTAATAGGATGCTAGGTGTAGGTATTGTAATGGAATAATGTGTACAGTTCTCAAAGCAGGCAGGGGAACAATTTTCATCAGTTCCGGCACAGTCCAGCTTAAAGTGGTAATCAGTATCATTTAAGGAGCAAATGCGTTTCACTTCCTTAACTTTGTGAAAAACACAATCTAAAGTATATTCTCCTTTTAAGGGAAGAAAACACTTCATGAAGCTCACTTGACTTCGTGGAAACGGAAACTGGCAAAATGCTATAAAAGAGAAATAACATCATTTTAGACTTATCGAAAAACAGATACTCCATAGCTTATAGTTTCCATTAAAAAAAGATTCATTGACATATAAGGTTCCAAATGATAGCCTAATAATAAAAATATCGCAAATGTTTTCGTTATTTCGCAAAGGTTTGCGTTATTACGCAATGGTTGCGTTATTTCGCAAACGTTTGCGTTATTTTGCAAAGGTTTGCGTTATCACGCAATGGTTGCGTTATTTCGCAAACGTTTGCGTTATTTTGCAAAGGTTTGCGTTAAAACGCAAACAAAGGAAGAAATTAAAAAAAAATGTGTGGCGCTAATAAAATTATGCTTCCGTACAATTTCTCTCTACCTTAGCCTACCGAGGTTTGTAATTTCATGAGCAACATGACGGCTGCCACATGTGGATCAGGATCTGAGTACCCTTCTGGAGCACCTGAAATTATCCCCGGTTTATGGTGGGGTTCGTGTTGCTCAGTCTTGTGTTTGATCTTTCGCCTTTATTTTAGCTAGCTTGGACTTATTGAAAATGCAGTAAAAGTTTGCTTCGACAAAACTAGGTCATGTTTTTTCTTTGACTGTAACGTCTTTATAATATTGATTTTGTCATCAGTAAATTAAAAGCAAACTAAATATTATTGTTATATATATACACATTCATGGGTCTACAATCTGTCGAGACCTGTATATTGTCATTGCAAAAGTTCATGTTCTTCTCTGACTGTTTATGACGTCTTTATACTAAATCCATTTGATGTTGGATGTGTACTGATTGATAATTTAGTCTTAGATACATGATTTTTATTAGTTGTTATTGGCTTTGAACTAGCTGTCAGTAACTGCGAGTACTCTCAGATCTGTAGTTAGTGTCTTTTTGTTGTTGGGATGTACAAGTACCCGTCCTCGTCTACTCTGTGTTTTTGTTAGATGTATTTCTATTTGTATCCATCTGATAAGTTACGCCTTTGTCAAATGATTTTTATAGTTTGTTCTCATGTTGTACTGTTACACCACTGTCCCAGGTTAGGGTGAGGGTTGGGCGTCCGCTAACATGTTGAACCCCGCCACATTATGTATGTGCCTGTCCCAAGTCAGGAGCCTGTAATTCAGTGGTTGTCGTTTGGTGCTGTGTTATATATTTGTTTTTCGTTCATTATTTGTACATAAATTAGGCCGTTAGCTTTCTCGTTTGAATTTTTTTACATTTGCCAACTTGCGGCCTTTCATAGCTGACTATGCGGTATGGGCTTTGCTCATCGTTGAAGGCCGTACGGTGACCTATATTTGTTAATTTCTGTGTCATTTTGTCTTTTGTGGAGAGTTGTCTCATTGGCAATCATACCACATATTCCTTTTTATATATACTAAGACAATTTTAAAAATACTCACGTTCTGGGTGTAATGTATTGTATTCGTGCACCTTTGAGTATTCTGCACAATTGGAAATATGGTGAGTATTGTTTGAGATGGTAGCATTGCAATACGTTTCCTACAATCATATTTATTCAACTTAACTAACTATTGTTATCAAAACTACTAAATAAATGATTTTAGACAAGTAAACCTGAGACAGTTGCATACCGATAAAACTAAGTAGTCATACTTATTTTATTTATTTATTTTATTTTATTTATTTATAGAATCGTTTGAAGTATCTCACGGAATAAATATATATAACAGGGCAATGCAGCTTTGAAATAACACTGATAGATAAATGATGTTTTTTTTCTTAATTTAAGATGTAAACATCGGAAAAATGGTGAATATAAAAGAAGTTTCGAATTTTCCCTAGCAAAAAGTTATAATGAAGATTTAAGAAAAGTTAATAAAATTGTACTGTTCTTACCTTAGCATCACATTTTACTAGATATGGAATGGTTATGATCAAAGACACTATAATTATAACAGATAAACAACCACATGTCCAAAAACAGCATGGTTGTTTTTCTTTCAATTGGTTTGTGTCATTTAATATTTCTCTAATATCAACCAACTTTTCATATCTTTTTCTCGTAGTATTCCCGTCATTGATAAACTTTTCACTAGTGTCCTTTGAATAAGCTTGTCTTGATGATTTCTTATCCTTTTTTCCCGTACTATAGTATCATGGGGTTTTAAGGAATATAAGTGTATTTGTGATTTCATTTCTGTTATGTTGATCTTTAACATTTTATATATACCTTGTATACAAATTTCCGACTATATTTAGATACAGGTATTCCGGAATTTCTAATATAACAAATAAGGTATTCCCTCGTCCAATATATCTAATTATATACTTGCTTATATCGTCATTCTAACTAGGAAGTTATATTTCTACGATCAATGTAAAACCGATCAACGTTCCCAATCCATGGTAATATCCTGCTATAGGATTGCAAAACTCTCATGTATGAATAAAAGGAAATATTGGGAATACGTCAATAAAACAATAAAGTGCAACCTTGTTTCTTTTCTATAGCAGAACTGTGGTGCTGGTAAATCCGTGTGCAAGTGTCAAGGTACAACGGTCATAAAATCATGAACGTTGACGAGAGTTCGAGATTTTTGCTGCTACAAAGCAGTTTGATTAACAGAGCGGAGAATCCTTGTCTGAACTTGCAAATGATTTTTATTAAATTGTACATGTTTTATTGCACTGTTAGTATAGTTTTTATCGATCCATAATCTTAGAAAAAATTGATAAATATATCCATTATTCACAACCAAACATCAAAAGTATAAATCTGTAAATTAAAATTCATTGTAGACGATTATAATGTATATCCCTGCCATAATAGTATAATTCATCATGCTCCACTTCTAATAGTTTTCAATCGTCCTTTTCCATATTTTTAGTTCGCATTAACTCTACAGTTGTAAGATATATATAATGTCCATTATTGTTAACTAAACTATAATTTCCTATTCATTTTACTTCAGTTTTGAAAGAAATTAATTACAACATAGCAACTTAGCTCAGATCGCTAAATTTCATCTTCTCTTTTTTGTGAAATCATGTTTTTTTTTATTTGAAAATTAATTTAAATAAGAAAAATTTGAAAACTGAATAGAATTGAAATTTCTTTGATGATTTTTACTACAATTCTAGTTGTATATCAAATAAAGAAAAAAAACACCTTTACAAAAAATAAAAATAAGCAACAAATAAAAAAGAGCAAATAAAACAAAATCAATGCTCTGAAAGTACAATCAAGCCTCCAGCTTCAACACAGACACTGTGAATGTTGTATTTAACAAGCGACGGCATTGATGTACTAATGTTGTGAGTGTTACAATATCCCTCACATAAACTGCGAGATTCACATTGAATATCATGAAGAGTTGAGTTGCAAATTAATCGGTACGCCATCAAATCATTATTTGAGTTGCTGTCATCGCAAATCTTGTCGACGGATATTTCTTGTTCTGGATGAAAATCAAATGTGAAATTTCCAGAATGAGGCAGAAATGTTTTAAGAATCAGTGACCCAGTAGTTGACGTTGTAGGTAAATGCAATGACCAATAAACTAAAAATAGATGAAAATCACTATTATTTTTGTATACCTATACCACGTATGTGTACTGATATCAGCTACAAAACGGACAAGTATAAATGATACATATTTGTTAAGCTTTTATCGTTTCTTACAAGTTATTAAAATTACATCTACTTTATTCATAAGACTTGTTTATTTCGTTTGTTCAAAGCTTCTGTCTTTTAGCACACTAAAAATATCTCAAATGGAAGAAAATGTTGTATTTCTGAATTCATTGAAGTTGCTACTTTCCTTTAATGTTTAAGACAGTCTTCATCTATCTAAACTTGAAATATATATTATTTTATTTGAAATCTTATATCCACAATGTATTTAGCATATTTGAAAAACAGTACGTTATATTGGAAACCAAATGTGGATTATAGTATTGTGTTTGTAAATCAAGTCAACTATTCAAAGAATGCCATTAAATAAATGTTTAACCTGTTTCTCATTTGTATATCAAATTATTGTGAGTAGTTGAATTACATTTTGATTATATCCATATTCTTCATTCTGAAGATTTATTCGCAATTTTACATTTATCCAGTATAATGGATGTAATGTTCATATACGCATTTGTTCTAATTCATTGACATTATCAACATGACTATGTAGTGGAATTTTTTTATTTTGGCATTGTACAAGATCTTTATTTATTTTAGAATGTTTAGTCACATCACTAAATTCGTTTGGGCGGGAGAAGATTATCTATTTATAAGTTGTAATTGGCTTTGAACAAACTTTCTATATTCTAAGACCGATATTGTGTGTCATCTGTATTTATGTAAGTTTTTTGTTTTCTCTGGTTCCTGCCAATCTGACGAATCAAGTCATTTTCAACTGGTTTTGACAGTTTGTTCTTATGTTGTGCTGTAACACCATTGTTCCTTGTTAGCGGCAGGTTGATCGCTCACAAACACGATTAACACACTTTTATTTATGTGTCTGTCTCTATGTGCTGTTTGATGCTGTCTGTCATATTTTTTTTTATAGTTAAGTCAAAAATCAGGCCGTTCGTTTTCACGTTTGAATTGTTTCACAATTCTTGCTGGTGCTTATTAAAGCTGACTTAACGATTTGAATTTTGCTCATTGTTGAAGGACGAACGGGTATAAGTTGTTGTGGTGAGAACTTTACTGTAAAATACATAAACCAAAACATGAACCTTAAACATAAAAGAAAAGAAATAATAATGGCCAATCGGACACATAGGCCGGAAATAATGTGCTTTCCCTCTGTCGTAGCTAGTCAGGGCATAACAAGACAGAATCATATTTACATGAATTATTGCTCTTCGTTCTATCTGTGTCAGCCTTTGGGTAAACATACACAGTCTGCAATAAAAAAAAATAGGCAAAATCCTTAATGGGCTGGACTGGGATCTTAGACTGGGATGTACTATAAACTGTTGACTCGACTGAACTGGTATCTCACATGTATATTTTTATAATAACATTTTATCCTTTGTTATCTTCTTGTTTTATGACGACTGTACTTGATGCTGTTTTATTCAGTGATATAATTCGAATTTATAATCTGCCTATCATAAGAAGTTATATAACTGAAAAAATCCCGAACAGATAGTTTTTATTTATTTACAGATTGGAATATCAGCAAACATTTTATCAAATGAGGCAAACACAAGGACAGATAAACTATCCTGTATTGTATGTTCTAATGTGTGTGTGCAATACAATTATCACCTTGTTTTATTTCATTTCCAAAACTTATGTTTTTGTACTTAAAGATAAAGATAAAGACCTCTGAAACTGAGATTCATTCTAATGATAACACAATGAATTATATTATACTAGTACATTACACGCCATTGTCTTCATGAAGACTAAATTGTTTCTTAAACAACACTGAACTTCTAACAGTTTAGTTAAATAAAATATTTTTTGGTATAACTCATCTAATTTTTTTTTCATTGTGCACGGCATTAAATTTACAACATGAGCCCAACCTCATCAAATACTCATGTTATAGCAAAGACCCATCGAAACAACATCTGATACAAAAATTTAATAACACTTTTAGATATTTGGCTGATATATTGGCTCTCAATAGGGACGACTTCAGTATGTACACTAAAGAAATTTATCCTGCTGAACTGACTTTAAATAAAGCTAATACTAACACCGAACACTGCCCTTTCCTGGATCTTGATATCTATATCTTTAATGGGAAGCTTAACACCAAAATTTTAATGGGAAGCTTAACACCAAAATTTATGATAAAAGAGATGATTTTTCATTTCCTATTGTTAATTATCCATTTTAAGATGGTGACTTTCCCTCGTCACCATCTTATGGTGTTTATATATCTCAACTTGTTCGATTCTCTCGTGTATGTAACAACGTATTTGATTTTAACGAAAGAAACTTCTGTATTACTGAAAAAATATTACACCAGGGTTTTCGATATCACAAACTAGTCAAAACATTTACTTAATTTTATCATCGGTACAAGGACATCATTCGTAAATATAAATCAGCATGCAGACATCTTATACGTTCAGGTATTTCACATCCAATCCTTTATGGTAATATTCTATACAAAGCACAAAAATGTCGACATTCACCTCAAAAGCTAACCAAACCTTTAAACAGACTTATTCGGAAGGGATATAGTTATGATACTGTTGTCAGATCATTAAAGATGGCATATTTTGGTATTAATATTGATTCACTCATAGGGTCTTTGCATCGGAAAAAACACATTTATTCTCAATCCAGTTGTTGGCATGATACGGGTTATGTTCTTATATATTTTATAATGGTATGATACGAAACCCCTAACGGGAGGGATTGTGCTTGATTTTCATATGATGAAGACATAATTCATATAGCTCATTTTGAAAACAATTCTGAAGTTAATAATAGGGTCCATGATATACCCATTTCTAGAATAAAAAATAAACTCCAAGTACTCGCAAAGCGGTTTGTGTTCGTACCGGCAGACAAAGCAGCCAATTATGTAGTTGTGGTGTGACGCATATACTACACGGAAGTTCTCCAAAACGAAATTAACAATTCGTCTACATTCTGGTCCGTACGCTCCACAGAGAGTCAAATTGTAAACAAGCATATCACTGCCACTACCCAGCTTAAAGCCTCTTCCGAACATTTGAAAGTCCCGACTATGTACTGGTTACCTGGTTACCTGGTTCCGTTTCATCTCCGCATCTAGTAAGTGTTCTACTACTGATCTGTCAGTTCTTCTAACTACCTCCCTTACTACTATCAAAGAACTTGTTATTAATTTTTGTTATAAAGCTTCTGAAAATAATGGTATTAATTATTTATGGAGTGTTAAAAATTCATTAGAGATTTTAGATAAAATACGTGCTTTTGATGGTCCTTTTAATTCTGTTGACAGTTATGATTTTTCTACTCTCTACTCTACACTTCCACACAATCTTATCAAGAAAAAGTTTTCATATTTAATTAAATGGTTTTTTGAAAAATCTCATTGCAAATTTATTTACTGTAACTCGTTTAAAGCCTTTTTCTGTAACGGAAAAGGAAAGTATGCTAGATACAATTACTGGAAATGTAAAGATATGATAGAAGCTTTAAATTTACTCCTGGACAACATATATGTACGTTTCGGCGATGAAATGTATCGACAGGTAGTAGGTATTCCTATGGGCACTAACTGCGCCCCTTTAATAGCAGATTTATTCCTGTATTGCTATGAATCTCAGTTTATGACCAAACTCAGCAAAGACACGTCATTGTAACATTTGGTTGATACGTTCAACAATACCTACCGTTATCTTGATGATATTTTTTCGTTCAATAATCCAGAGTTCTCTAGATATACTACCAAAATTTACCAAAAGGAACTTACTTTAAATAAATCTAACATAAACAGCAGTAGTTGGCTTTTTCTAGATTTAGACATTTCAATTTTTAAAGGGAAACTCCATATTAAAATTTACGACAATAGAGACGATTTTTCTTTCCCTATTGTTAATTTTCCCTTTTCAGACGGCGATGTTCCTTTGGCCCCATCATACGGTGTTTATATATCCCAACTCGTTCGTTATGCCCGTGTGTGTAGTGATGTCATAGATTTTAACGGACGTAATCAATGCATCACTGGTAAATTATTAAGTCAGGGATTTCGTTACCATAAATTGCTTAAAACTTTTACTAAATTCTTTCATAGATACAAAGATTTGACTAGTAAATTTCGCTGTACCTGTAGAAAACTTATTAAAAACGGTATTTCACATCCTAAATTTTACGGTAATATTGTACTAAAAGCGCGGAAATCACTATGTGATCCGTGTAAACTCATCGAACCTTTAAACGAACTTATTAGTAAAGGTTATCTTACCAATGTTGTAATTAGATATTTGAATATAGTTTACATTGACACAAATATCGATTTTTTTCATCAGCAAATTAAAACATAACAAAGTTGTATTCTTTTCAAATGGTTTTTTGGGATGTATAAATACGCATCCACGTTCATTTTCTATATATACATATTTATTAACAGGTTAACTATCCTACTGCCTGTCGATACTTTTATTTTGGCATTGCACAAGTCATGTCTACTTTGACTGTCCATGACGTTAACACACTAAATCCGTGTAATGTGTTTTGATTGATTTTAGTCTCTGATGCATTATTTTTTTATTATTAATTGTTTTTGGCTTTTAACTAGCTTTCAGTAACAGCGAGTACTCTCAAATCGTACTTTCGTGTTAATTTGACCTGTTGATACAATTTGTAATGTATTTTTGTTATTTAATGTTTACTTATTCAGTGTTATATCTAGTCTCACTATTTTTAATATATACCACCTTTGATAAGAGTTTAGTATGACGATAAATTTTCACTTTTGTTCTCGCACTAGGAACAACAAAATTATTTATTTTGTAAAAATTATTTCCGTACTCCATGTATACCTTACAACAAAATTGTTTTTATTTACCTGTGTACGTTGTTTTATTTGGCGGCATTTTGTCCAAGGTTATGGTTGTCTTTTTGATATTGTTTTACATCTAACCCCCTTGTTTTATTCATTTTGTATTTACATTGTGTCATAGATCAAATTTATTCGTTCAGTGTATGTTCACTTGTTATTGTTTATATGTCTTTTGATTGAGTTAAGCCATTTCAATTGATATTTTATAGAGTGTCTTTCTATTTGTGATGTTACACTATTGTTTCAGGTAAGGTGAAGGTTGGCGCCTATTAAAACGTTTAAACCCGCTGCATTAGTTTGCACCTGTCCTAAGCCAGGAACCTGATGTTCAGTGGTTGTCGTTTGTTGATGTGGTTCATAAGTGTTTCTCGTTTCTCGTTTTTATATAGATTAGACCGTTGGTTTTCCTGTTTGAAAGGTTTTACACTAGTCATTTTTGGGGCCAGTTTAATTGAGGTCTGGAGCTGGCATGTCAGTAACTGCTAGTAGTCCCTTGTTAATTTATGTACCATTGTCATTTTGCTTAGTTTCTTTTGTAACCTATTCTGACATCGGACTCGGACTTCTTTTAAACTGAGTTTTACTGTGCGTATTGCTTTGTGTTTGTTTATTCTACATTGGCTAGAGGTATAGGGGAGGGTTGAGATCTCACAAAACATGTTTAACCCCGCCGCATGTTTTGCGCCTGTCCCAAATCAGAAGCCTCTGGCCTTTTTAGTCTTGTAAGTTTTTTAATTTTAGTTCATTTGTATGTTTTGAATTTTAGTGTGACGTCCATTTTCATTGAACTAGTACACATTTTGTTTAGGGGCCAGCTGAAGCCCGCCTCTGATTTTCTTGCTATGTTGAAGACCCATTGATTGCATTCGGCTGTTTTCTGCTCTTTGGTCGGGTTGTTGTCTCTTTGACACATTCCCCGTTTTCATTCTCAATTTTAGTTAAAGGAATTACTCTTTAAGTTTTTGAATATATCTTTGTTTATTCTTCTGACTGCATCAGTTTTACAGAAGTATTTAGGTTGGGCACATATGTATATTTTAATACCATTTTTAAAATAACTTAACTCATCATAGGCCCGTTCACTGGAATAAACATATCTTTATCTTTAATTATCTTTATTTGAAACAAAGTACTCATTTAGTATCTAGTGGGTGTTTGTCTCATTGGAAATCAAACCACATCTTTCTAAAATACATTTGATTATATCCATTTTCTTCATTCTAAATATTTTTTTGACATTTTACATTTATCCTGTGTGATAGGTGTATTTTATTCCAACTCATTTATATTATCAACATGACAATGTAGTGGGAATTTATTATTTTGGCATTGTACAATATCTTGATTTATTTTAGACTGTTTAGTCTATTCACTAAATTCGTTGGATGTG